CCCAGCCTGCTCGCTGGTGGGGTGGGGCGAGAAGCAGAAAAGGCCTTGACTCTGTGTCAGCACTGCTCAGCATCCCTGTGTTATCAACACTGCTTCTAGCACAAATCCAAAACAGAAGCCCCATATAGCTGCTATGAAGAAAATTAATTCTATCCCAGCCAAAACCAGCACACACATAACAATAGGAGTAAGGGAATTTTGCTCTCTCCTAACAGATTAGCTCCAAGAGGAATAAATCAGATAATGTTATTGCCTTCTTGTTTCTTTCCCTCCCTCTCTAAAAAGCAAGATAGCCCACACAGCGCAGTGTAAAGCCAGGGCTGGTAATGTTTTTGTCTTGCCTACAGTCTGTGATACAGATGTGATCCCAATTCTGCTGTCACCAGGACAAACTTTTTGAAGTGGTCTGGTTCTGTTGTTTGTTGCTTTTGGTACTAATTTCAGCTTCTGTGTTTGCTCTGCTCACAGACGATGGCCCTTACTTGAAGGGGAGCAAGGACTCTGGTGGGATGGACGCAGCCCTAGTCTCCAGGAGGCAAAGCATCCCAGGTAAAGGAGGGGATCAGCTCCTGCTCCAAAACATCAGGACATCCGTTACACTTTACCTGGCTACCCCTGAAATGGGTAAACCCCTTCCCCCCCAAACACCCATTTTGGTGTATCTATCAGCAAGGCTTTTGCTGGAGGGCAGAAATGGGTGGTAGTAACTCATCTCAGTGAGTGGGATGTTACTGGTGCAATCACAGTCTGGTGTGGAGCTGTTGATGGTGGTTACAGGGAGCTGGGAAAGGACTGGTTCCTGCGCTGGGCTGACACCCAGAAAGAGGAAAACAGCAGCAAAGGAGAGAGGGAAGAAGCGCTGCCACATCTGAGCTTGCTGGGCGCAGAGGGAGACTGGCAGTGTCTGGCAGACTTTGTATTTCCCACGTGTGACTAAGTTTATTTTGACATTTAGTCAGCCACAGCAGACTTTTGTGTGAGATAAACCCTCCCACGCAGAAAAAACCCCGGGGGCTGAAGAGGGAGTGGAGAAATGGTAATACGTTTGCCGCCGTTGGTGCTGGGCTTTGTCTGCCAGCGACATGCCAGCAGGTTTGGAGGGGCTGCTCTGGACAACTCATCTCCTTCCTAATAAAGCCCAGGGCTTGATTTTGACTTTGACCGTTAGTGACCCAGTCACAGGTTTGGTTTAGTGTGTTGTAGGGGATGTGGAGGAAACGGGGCTGTTGCTTCATCATTTGGCAATTTTTCTAGGGGATATTCTGCATCCTCTGGGGCTGCTGCAACATGTTGCCACCGTACCACAGCCCTGATGGAGACAGGCTGACTCCCTGCTCACAAGAGCCAGTCTGTCCAACAACCCCAGCTCAAGGCACCTCAACGGGGAGGGCAAGCAAAATACAGGTGTGCTCTTCCTGCCCTCAGATGCTTTGAGCAGGAAAATCCAAGCATATATACCAATAGAAGAAATCCAAGACTACTCTCATATGGCACTTAAAGATTATGTCTTGAAGGACCAGATCCTGCTTAACCAGCTTACTTTTACATCTGTGTGTGTCTGTGATAGTGGCAGTAGATTTATAGCGGCATTGGTCAAAATCCCTTATTGCTTACCTTGATAGATTGATCTCAGGAACTTGCCTTTTTTCGGAGCAGTGATTTCTCCTTGAACCCATAACAATGGGTAATTGCACTCTGGGAGTTCTCATTTTAAACACTTATCAAGGATCAAAATTAAACCCTATTGAAGAGCTAATAATCTCCCCTTGCGGCACCATCTGTGTTGATCAGTCATGTCTGTAGTTGAGAGGAAATTTGCAGGATAGTGCCGGATGGTGTTCCTTCCAGCACGGTGGGGAGCCCCCGCAAAGTTTCTGGCAGCCCCTGGGATCCCGGGTTGGTGAATTGAAAACTAAGTTACTGTAGTTGGCAAGGGATCAAAACTGAGTTTAAAAAGCAGAAGCATTATGGACCTGACATTTTACAACAAGCTGCCAGTGCCACGTTAAATGGGTGCCCAGCAGTGCCTGAACACCTTCCAGACTGGCACTAGATTGCAAAAAGGTTCCCCACTCGCGTTAATCAAGTGCATGGATTACTCTTGAAAGTGCTTTACAAAACAGGTAGTGCATGTCAGGACTCAAAGTGAGGTGCAATTTCTGGTGTCATGGTGGCATTACACAAGGAGCAAAGTGCTAGTGATGAGGCACCACAGTGCCAAATGACACCATGTTTTCTCTCAGTGAGAGAGGATGGAGGGGGGAAGCCCTGCACCAGCATGAATCTTCTGTGTCAATATGTTATTTAAGAGACCCTGCCTTGCTCTGGAAATCATAGTGTGCAAAAGGTTTCAAATGTTCCCTCTCCAAATAGAGCATCTCATTTAAGCCTGATGGGGTTTGCTGGGCAAACAACCTTTTGGGCCATTTGCAGCCTGGGTTTTAGGCCACAGCTGTGGGACTGCTGTTTGCCATGTGCTGCCAATGCCCATTACCACCTTCCCCTGCACGGTCTTGGAGAAAGGCGTCCTGTGTGAGGGAGACTGTTTTCCTCCTGTAAAATTGTGGGAGATTTCAGTACACCAGAGGTGGTGGAGGTGGATGGATCATGTTGTAGACAAATTTTGCAAAAGCTTCTTAGAGGAGGCTCTGGCAAGGCATGAAAGTCATCTGATTTGTCCCAGGGCTAGTCCTCCTTTGAGCAAAGAGTGCGAGTGCCGTCACGTGGATTAACATGGAGCTGCCTTTTGCGAAGTCCGCAGAGCTCTTGGTCTTTCCTTGAGCAGGTGCTGGCTCTCCTCCTAACTTACTCCTCTCCTCCACGTCAAATCCAGAAGTTGGAATAGTTTAGGGATCCTGTTCTTGTAAAACCCAGAGATGAGCTGTAACGGGATCAAAACTGGCATCAGGTCGGGCTTATATGTGGTGCTGGACAAACAAGAGTGTCATCTTGGACTAAAGGAATGTAAAAAGTACGCTGCCTGCAGCAACTGGAGAAGCAGCACTGGTGCAGCTGGTGTGGGGTGTGCATCCCCTAACCCTGACCCTGCCATACGTATTATGGCTTGCAGTGCATGTGGAACTAGTTATGTTTTAAAAGTGGCTCATGTCTTCATTTCCAGCTGTAGACGAGGTGGGCAATATGGAGGAAGTTTAACTTAGACCAGGTGCAGATGGGTGGGGAAACTGCTGTGAATGAATGTTCATGCCTCCCCCCTCCTTCCCCTGCTGATGGCAGGATCCCACCCCCTCTCCACATTATGTTCTTTATCTCCCAACTGTATTGATGTCTCATGATATTTTTTTAAAATCACAGTATTTTAAGAGCCACCTTGTTCTGTACATCCAGGCAGCTACTGCAGGTCCACAGCATCTTCCTACCTGGTAACTGTGACTGCCTGTCATGCAGCCCTCCTAACACCCACCCCGCTCCATAGCAAACATAATTCCTGACGTAGTGTCCCTAGACCACTGCCCAGATCCCATCACCCTGGTTTTGAGTCCTTCCACTGCCTCCAGCACCTTGAAACACAAAGGTTTTTATGCTCTCAGAAGCCCTCACTCTGCCTTGTCCTGCTTGGTCTTGCCTGCAAGACATGCATGCAACACTTTCCCTCCACTGCTGCGAGTCCACCAGGACACACTTCTGTTTCACAACTTCGTTTTAAATAAACTGAAGCTAATTGTCTAAATCATCCCAGGTCTGCTCTCCCACCACCTGTAGGAAAAGGGTGTCCTTGGGATTGGGAGGAACGTGCCTTCCACTGAGATGTTTGTCTTTATTCCTGATCTTTCAGAGGAGTTCAGAGGGGTCACCATTGTGGAGCTGATTAAGAAGGAGGGAAGCACCCTTGGGTTAACCATTTCAGGTGGCACGGACAAAGATGGAAAACCAAGAGTCTCCAATCTGAGGCCAGGAGGACTGGCTGCAAGGTGAGAAACCAAAATGGGGTGCAGAGAGCACAGTAAAACTGGAGAGGAGTTAGTTGCATGTTCCAGCTACTGAATGAGTATGGTTATAATTAAAATAGTTGGCACCCGGCTCCCTTTTTTCAAGTGCCGTAGAATGCAAAGTTGTTGCTTCGGTAAGTAGAACATCGTCTATTTTGAGTTATTTCCCATGCTCTGTGCAATTATGCTCTGAAATTTTGTGTAGGGATATTTGGGATTCTGTGAAATTAGGCAGCCTTGTCAGGAGAGCTGCGTGGTACAATACATCTTGATCAAGCTAAGTGGTTTAATATTGTATCTGTTCTGAATACCAAGTGTGTAAGTAATGTTATTGGCTCAGAAAAGGAATGGGAGAAGAAAGACTCCAAGAAGCAGAGAAAGGGAAGGAGTAATTGAAGAATTTTGCAGAAAACAGGCAAAAGGAAAAATGTTTTCTTTTTCCATGCTGGATTTTTTTTTCAGACAGCTGTTGGTATGCTTCTCTGTGACTGATTGCTCTACATGAATGGGAATTGAGCAACAAAAAGAGAGGTTGTGAACACGTATACCGTGATTGTTGCTGTATGTACAGATCTGAACACTTGTCACTGGGAAAGATAGATAGCTTCAGTTTTAGCACTTCTCTCTGATAGCAGGCACATGCAGTCAGACAGCGAAGATCAGCCCAACGTTGGTGGCTTGTTCAGGAAGTCCTCCAGTTCCAAAGGTTCACCAGGCACGTCCAGACTGAGCATAGCAGAGACTTTGTGCTACCGCTGCTTTTTTTTTTTTTTTTTCTTCACAGAAGTGCTCAGCTGAACGTTGGGGATTACATCAAGTCAGTGAATGGCATTAACCTGACCAAGCTGCGGCACGATGAGATCATAAGCCTGCTGAAAAACGTGGGCGAAAGGGTAGTGCTGGAAGTAGAGTATGAGCTTCCGCCAGCCGGTGGGTGCCTCTCTGACAAAGCTACTCTCTTTTCTTGGCTGCTTTTTGTCCTGGGGTACAGATGGCCTTGCTTGTGCATTAGCCGTCATGGCCAAGGCAGTATCCAGGGGCATTTTGACGTTCTGCCTTCATCTGCTCACAGTGCCGCGGTAGATGTTGCAGAGCTGTGTGCAGTCGGAGCAGAGGCTTTTTCCAGCACAGTGGGTGCCTGTTCATGCACACCGGAGGGAGATGGCTGATTAGGTCTGTCTTGCCTCGGAGTGACTTGGTAGCACAGGCCAATCTGCCTCCTGATGCTGCTTCAGCTTGTTTTCCTTTTTCTCCTCTTGGATTGTGGCTACCGGAGGTTTTATTCAGTCCTAAGCATGTATCGCCAGATCCTCTTTTCTGAACTGCGGCAAGTGCTGTTACTCCTCAAGATGCTTTGAAATGTTTTGTGTTTTCAGAAGGGAAACAGAAGCAATCTGCTTTCCAGCTAAGGGGCCCCGGCCGAAGCTGGCAAGCCCAACTCACATTAACAGGGGTTGTGTCCTGACATGGGAGACTGTGTGGTCTTGCGCTCATTTCTTTGTTCTGATTAAAACAAATTCCTTGATACAGTTTCTCATCACAGTCTTTCTGTTGTGAAAATGATCTCCCCAGTTATTACTCAGTTACCCAGATCAATCAGAGGATGATTGGGCAGAAGAAATAGAACAACTAAAAATAAGATAACAGGAAAAACAAAACTAATGAAATCTAAACATTTTGCCCCAGATAGGAAGCTATCTTACACTTCATAGTTTTGCTATAGCTGCTGCCTTTACATGAAAAGTATTGAATCTATAAATGACATTATAAAGCCCTAAGAAGGAAAAAAAAAATAATCTGAATTAGCTGAATCTCTATCCATCATCCCCCTCTGTTCTGCTGTAAATGTTAGTTAGCTTTTGCGTACAGCCCTGGTAAAACAAACTGTGGCTCAAGTTTTCCATGTTCTCATGCTCACTAGAGATGACAACTCTTAACCTTTCCCCTTAGCTGTGAGCCTGGCTATCAGGAATCTGATAAGCTGTATTTACCAGCTAAGGAGCAGTGCCCATACCGCATGGCTCAATCAATAGCAGCGATGCAAAATGTCCCCACCTCTGAATGAGCAGGAAGAGCACACTGAAATAGTGACTTCTCTCCAGTGAGATTATTGATGCTGTTTATGACCAATCCAAACAAAGAGGCACTGCAAAATACGGGGAATTGTCAATTATTGCCTTGCTCCAGTTCACTGTGGGCTTTTATCTGCGGTGAGGGTTTGTTATTGTTGTGTGCACCTGCCTGCCTCTCTCTTTCTCTCTCTTTCCCTAGGCAAAGAGCAGAAATATAGTGCAATTCAATAGCTTGTGCTTGTGGGTTGAATTTTTCTTTCCACTTTGTAATTTCCTGCTTTGGAAGAGACCTTGCAAGTCCAAGTCTAGTTATCAGGCCACTGTGTCATATCATCCTTTTCATAAATAAACCAAGCCCTGCGTTAACATTAGCTTAGGTTTCACCGCTCCCCACTGATCTTACGAAAGGCTGTTGCAGAACTTCACGCTTGGATGCTTAGGACAGAAATTGGATGGTTTCCGAACTCATTTGTGGATGCTTTATACCCTTTTCTTGGTATGTGATTATTACCCCTTAGTTGGGAGCCTTCCTGTGCCCTGAGCTTTTCCCTTCTGGAGTATTTCTAGGCTGTGTCCCTGTTAGCAGTCTGTGCACAGCAGCAGGAGCAAAGTGGCTGCATGGGGGACAGTGTTTTGGGGGTTTATTTGGCCTCGCTGTAGCCTGGTCCCCAGGGCTTCCTGCCTGTAAGAAGGTACCATGCCTCCACTGTACATCTTTTGGGTTAGTTTAAGGGTTAGTTTAACCCTAATTTGGGTGCAGGTTGCAAGCCCTCAGGGTGCTTGGCAGTGAGGACCAATGTGGTCAGTGAGGACAGTGGGGAAATTCACTTCAAAAACCCCCTCCTGGGCCAAAGGGAAACGCTAGCGCGGACATGCCTAGGGGAGCCTTCAGCTCCAATTTGCCAGGTTGAATTCAAGCTCTTAGTCTTTTTTCTGATTATCCTTGTGGCCATTCATTGCACTTGGTTTGAAGATTAGGAATTGATCTTTTCAGAATGGACCAGGCTGAAATGCCATGTGTGGTTCTGGATGGAGAAGACTGGGAAATTGTCCCATATTCACTGCAGTAGTTCAATAAAACATTAAATAGCAGGGGATGGCAAGAGATGAAAACAGTTTCTTCCTTTTTCTCTTTACTTTTGTACATTAAATAGTACTGTGTATTTAACGTAAAATTACTGAATTGCCCTGAGGATCAGTTTAAAGGATTCACTTAATCTTTTTTTAAAGTCAAAATATGAGAAGTAAGGGAAAAATACCCAACCTTTTGCACTGAGGATTTGGGATTTTCATTTTCTTTAAGGTCAGCCGGTGACTTGATTCCTTACGTTGCTGCTGGTTTTTTTTAATAAGTTTCCATCTGCGGCAGAAGCTTCTGGTTTTTGCATAATGCTGAACGCATTAAAGCCAGTTGATAAACGAGACAGTTTTAGTTGAATGTCAGAGTATTACCAAGACAAATTTGAGGGGAGATGCACAACACTGAGCTGGTGAAATCATCCTAAAACATGATGGTTGGCTCTGACGAAGGTTCATGCGTCCAGGTTGGGCTCTTTTTGCCTCCAAACAGGGAAGATACAATATGGGTATTGGACTGGACTTTAATATCAGTGCTGTTTGGATGAGTTTTGGTATTATTTTGCAGGGTGGCATGGAAAAGGTTTATCTGGGGATAACTGGGTTTTCCTCTTTTCCTTTAGTGCCAGAGAGCAGTGCTGGCATTATTCCCAAGACCATCGAGGTGTCCCTCTACAAGGAAGGCAACAGCTTTGGCTTTGTGCTGAGAGGTTAGTAGCTTCTCCAGTGAAAAACAAAGAGGGGACAAGCACTGGCAGAGGTGATTTGGGAAGCGGGAAGAGAAAAGTAAGAAGATGAACGTCATAAGCCTTAGCGAAAGCGTGTCCTGGAGAGCATCCCGTGCAGCCTTCAAGGACTGCTGGCTGCCTAATCCAGGGCAGTCTTTTTGCTTTTGGGCTGTGTCAGCTGTTACGTGATAAATGTCTCTCCTTTCTCAGCACTCTCATTCAGACTTTCAAACCTCCAGTGACTTACGGCTTTCCCGGTTTGATTACAGGGGGAGCCCATGAAGACTGGCACAAGTCCAGACCGCTGGTGCTCACCTACGTGAGGCCTGGTGGCCCAGCAGACAGGTAATGCTCGTGTTGCACCTCCAATATTTGCTTTCACAAGACAGACCAGCAGCTCGCACCATGCTCTTAGATGTGTGTCTGTCTTGTCCTCCTTGCTGGTGCCTCCCCAAGGCTTCTCATGCTGGTGGTGTGGAACGACACAGGTGATGTGGGACCTGTGGTGTGTGGGGAGGATGGGTCCCGTGCTCATAGGCTGACCTATCTGTAAGTGTTATAGTTATAAGCAGAAACTCCTCTTCCAGAGGCAGCCACTTAATTAACCCTGTGCAGATGAAGAGCTGATGCTGTGTTAGAAAGCAGGAGGCAGTCTGTCTGTTCTCATGCGACTAATTTAGTACTGGCCTGGTACTATAAATAACCCAAAGTATTGTCCCAAGGAGTGTTCAATTCCTACAAGATCAAAGTAATTGGCTTTTTTTAATATATACACACAGATATGTAGTATACACACACAAAATATATAAATATATGATATATACAAAATAAAGATAGATATATAAATATAT